GGGGTGGGGTTCAGGGCCTTGCAGCTGAGGGAGCGCTGCCCAATGGGATGTGTCAGCAGTGACATCAGCCCCAAGAGCACCCTGAAACCAGGGAGGTTTTGAGAAGAGATGGGGATGAGGATCTCTCACTCCAGACATGGGGCTCCAAAAGCTCAGGATAAAAATAATAATGAAGAAATTATTAGTCACAGTAATAATCATCACAACAGCTATCATTTCTCGGCACCAGGCACAATAGCTGTATGAAGCTGGTGGGGCGTCTAAAACGGGAGAAGTGGATGGGGCCGAAAGATTCGGGGGCCTGGGAGGGTCACCACAGGCAGTGCTCACCGACCCCTCCCTCTGTCCGCTGCACCTTGCCTACCCTACAGGGATCCATGATGCCGAGCTGCGACCGTTCCTGTGTCTGCAGCCGTGGCCCCAACGTGGAAGATGGCAAGTGGTACGGGGTCCGCTCCTATCTGCATCTCTTCTATGAGGACTGTGCAGGTACCGCCCTCAGCGATGACCCCGAGGGGCCTCCTGTCCTGTGCCCCCACCGACCCTGGCCCTCACTGTGTTGGAAGGTAAGGCCGGAGGAGCAGCAACTTCGGTGATTTCCTGTGGCTTCAGGGAAGAGAGGGGATCAGTGGATAGAAAGACAAGGGATAGTGTAGCACTTAGGAGCTGTCACATTCAAGCAACAGAAAACCCAACTCAAATGACTTTAAACAATAAAGGGAAAATATTACTTATTTCATAGAAGAGACCAGAGGTTGGGTGCCTTCAGGCAAAGTTCGATCCAGCAGTTCGAACCATCACACTGAGGACTGAAAATTTCCTTTAGTCTTCAGGTTCCCCCTGGTGCCTCCACCCTTACAGCCCCTGCTAGCATCAGGCTCTCCCTGTATGTTCGCCAAATGGCTACTCCCATGCTGACCCTCAGTCTTTGACTCCACACCATCCAAGGGAAATCAGAATTTCCTCTAGAAAAGAAACAGTGCTTTTCATTTTCAGAAGTCCTGGCCAGCATTGCATTGGCTCTGACTGGGTCTCTTGCCCAGCCCTGAACTAATTACTATGGCGGGGGGATGGTATACATTGACTGGCAGGAAGGCGGCTCATCCCACTTAAGTCTTACTGTGGCTTCACAATGCTATACTGGGGACCGTGGCCAGGACAGTGGAAGATGTGAAGGGACCAGCAGGACCAGTGGTCAGCACCATGTGGGGAGAGATGTGGAGGCCACAGTGAGCCGAGTCTTCATAATGGGTGCAGCTCTTTGCTAAATACTGTAAGGAGATGGAGGCAGAGGGTCCCTCGCCGCTAAGGTGAGGTGCCAACCGAGGCAGAGTGAATGCACCACCAAAGGTCTGCTGTGCGGATGATGCCAGGAGAGGAAAAGCTCTCAGCGCCTGGGATGATCAGGGAAGACTTCCAGGAGAAAGCGAGTATGTATTTTAAAATTTCGAGCATCTTCTTATTGCCAGGCAGTGTGCCAGGCTCTTGGGGACACAGAATGTAAGAAGACATGGTCCCTGTCCTTGAGGAGCTCCTAGCTGTGGTTCATTTAGTCATTCTGCAAACATTCACTCAGCTACTGCTCTGTACCAGCACTGTGCTAGGTATGGAAGCGCATAGTGAGCCGACACAGACACAGGCTCTGCTCTCATGGCTCTCTGGGCTCTCAGTCCAGCGGGGCAGGCAGACATCACTTATAGAGTAACCAAAGGACACGTCCAAGTGTGCACCAAGGTGAGTGCACTGAAGAATAAATGGGCGCAGTGTTTGCATGAGTACAGAGCAGGGGGCCTGACCCAGTCCAGGGGCATCTTGGAAGGCTTCCCTGAGGAGGTGAGGTTTGAGATGAGATCTGAGGGATGTGTAGGGGTTAACACACCAGAGAGATAGAGGGTAGATGGAATAGCGGGATGAGATGGGACCCAAAGAATGATGGAAGTGGACTCAAGGTTGAAAGGAGAAACCCATGGCTAGGTGGGAGCTGGGAAGGAAACTAATCAAGAGGCCTCAAGATTCCAAATAGAACATGACAGTTTGTGCCCCTTGTGAGATTGTAGCAGGTGTGTTCTGTGATTTTCATCTCTTCAGGTTGGACAGAGGGGTTACCTTGAAGTCCAGTTGGGATCCCAGGTGATCCCTCGGCCTCGGGCCCCTGGCTGTCCCTGACTGCCTCCCAATCCGTCTGCCTCTCCCCAGATCAGCCTGTGCTCGGCGACCCTGCTTCTGCTGCTGGGTGTGGCGGCCCTAACCACTGGCTATGCGGTGCCCCCCAAGCTGGAGGGCATCGGAGAGGGGGAGTTCCTGGTGCTGGATCAGCGGGCAGCCGACTACAACCAGGCCCTGAGCACCTGCCGCCTGGCAGGCACGGCACTCTGCGTGGCAGCTGGGGTCCTGCTGGCCATCTGCCTGTTCTGGGCCATGACGGGCTGGCTGAGCCAGGACACCAAGGCAGAACCCTTGGACACCGAAGCTGACAGCCATGTGGAGGTCTTCGGGGATGAGCCAGAGCAGCTGCTGTCCCCCATCTTCCGTGATGCCAGGGGCCAGTCTTGGTTCTCGCCCCCTGCCAGCCCCTTTGGGCAATCCTCTGTGCAGACCATCCAGCCCAAGCGGGACTCTTGAGGGGCCCACATGGCCAGAGGAGACACCAGACCCAGGTTCTGGACGCGCCCTCCTCCCCACTCCCTCTGTCTCCTTCACTTCTCCCTTTCAGCAGGGCCCCTTCCATCTAAATCCCCAGGAGGCCCCACTCCAGGTCAGAAAGCCTGGAAGTCACCTCTCCGTGCCCCTTCCCAGGGGGAGGGCCCCACTCATCCAAGATGCCAGCCTTCCCCACGTCCTCCTAAAACCGCAGCCACCCCTCCTTCCCAAGCCCTTTAGGGGCAGAAAGTGTCTCCCTCCACCCACCCCGGCTCTCCTCTCTGTGACTCTGGGCAAGCCCCTTCCCCTCTGAGACCGCCAGCCCCTGCCTCTGCACTGCGAGGTTTGGACCAGATTCCAGAGTTCCCTGCCTTTCCTGTTCCCCCAAGATACAAGCATTACCCTCCACAGGCCAAGATGGAGCAGGGGAAGCCGGTCGTTCTCATCCCTGACCCTCCCTCTCTCCACGATGCCTCAGGATGGATCAAAGATGCTCCCTTGGACTTCCCCCCCAGGATGTGTGAAAACGTGTATCCCCTACAGTACATTTGCTACATGCATTTTGGTGTCAGAGGCCCTCCGTGCACCCCATCAAGGGCTGTAGCCCCAGTTTACAGATGATGCTGCTGAGGGAGGCCGGCGGGTGGTCCGCAGGAACTCGGACCCACATCTTCAGTGTCCTCCTGGGCCAGCTCTTTTCAGATGGAGCAGGGCTCTGCACCTTCCTGGTTTACAGGGTCCCCCAGGCGTGGGGGACAGATTCAGTCCAGAGAGACTACCTGGAGGCCTGATGGTCCCTTGTGGCTGGGAAGATATTTTGGACACGCATTTAAATGATCTCTAAGAGCCAGGGGGCAGGCGAACAGGGTGTATTTGCTCCTCAAAGTCCACCCACCTAGAAACTGTCACCCATGGGTCCTGACCTTACGTGTAACAAATGTGCCTCCTGCAGACGCCAGCCCCTCCATCCTGCAGGCTGCCCAGCCCCAGGCATCATCTCCGTTCTCCACCACTAGGGGGAGCTCCAAGACAGCGGGAGAGGCGCCCTTGGACGACCCCCCCCCCCCCCCCCAACCCCCGCGTCAGTGTCACCACCAGCCTGGAGGGGCCTCCTGGGAGGGTCCTCAATCCGCCCCCACCAGGAGGCCCTGCTGCCCTTGTGCACCCCGCCATCCTGCACCCCTTCCATCCCACCTCCCCCTTCAATAAACGCTGGGATGGGCGCTGACTGCTTCTTTCCTCCCCGACTGCAGGGGCACGAGGGGAGGAGCCTGTTATCAGCTCCTACTGTGCGCCGGGCGCTTAAATCCGTCCTTTCTCCTTTGTTCCTCCGGATAACTCTTTGAGAAGGGGACTGCTACCTTCCTGTTACAGATGAGAGAACTAATGGTCAGAGAAGTGAAGCCACTGGCCTAAGGCAGCCTGATGGGAAGGAAATTTCTGTCATCTTGACAACCTGCCCCTATTCCTGAGGGGGTGGGGGAGACTTGGGGAGGGGGCTGGAGCCAAAGGTGGGGTCTTCTCCTGGGCGCTAATAACAGCTAACCCCTGTTGGCACTTACCAGGGTCCAGGCCCTGTTCTCAGGGCCTTACAGACGTGAATTCATTTAACCCTCACAACAGCCTATGAGGTGGGGCCGTGATTCCACTCCCAGACTCCAGGCTGGTGTTTCCACCTGCGTTCACCTGTGCGTTGAATCTCTGCTCAGCTTATCCTTATCGCCCTTCCCCTCGAGATCTGCCCCTGCTATCCCGCCCACACGTTAGTGAGTGGCAGCTCCAGCTGAAAGCCCGGAGGCACCTTTTTTTTTTTTAAAGATTTTATTTTTTTCCTTTTTCTCCCCAAAGCCCCCCGGTACATAGTTGTATATTCTTCGTTGTGGGTCCTTCTAGTTGTGGCATGTGGGACACTGCCTCAGCGTGGTTCGATGAGCAGTGCCATGTCCGCGCCCAGGATTCGAACCAACAAACACTGGGCTGCCAGCAGCGGAGTGCGGGAACTTAACCACTCGGCCACGGGGCCGGCCCCCATGGAGGCATCCTTGACCACTCTCTTTCCTCACAGCCTGAATCCAATCCGCCAGTGAGTCCTGTCAACTCAACCTTGGAAGTACATCCCGTACCCAGCCGCTTCCCGCGTCCCCGGCCTGAGCCAGCCACACCTCTGGTCTGGATTACTGCACTGGCTTCTCCCTGGTCTCCCGGCTTCCCACTTCTGCACCCCTCGCCCCACCAAGGCTAATCTTTACAGAGCAGCCAGACAGATCCTGTTATGCTGTCAGTTAGGTCATGTCCCTTCTCTGCTCAGAACCCTCCCATGGCTCCCACCTCACTCAGAGTAAAAGCCAAAATCCGCTCTGTGGCCTGCAAGGCCCACACGACGTGCTGACACCCGCCTCCCACTTTCTCCGCCTGTGACCTCAGCTCCCGCCACTCTCCCCCGTCCTGTCTCCTCTCCAGCCTCCTTGTTGTTCCTCCAACATCAAGCACCGCTCCTGCCTCACGGCCTTTGCCTTGCTGTTCCCTCTGCTGGCATGCTCTTCCCCAGTTCCCCACTTGCCCAATCTCCTCACCTCCTTCAAGTCTTTGTGCAAATGTCACCTTCTCAAGGAGGCCTTCCCTGAGCAGCCTATTTTAAAATGTGACCTTGCCCCCATTCTCCGCTCCCTGTGCACTTTTGATGTGGGCTTTTGCTTTCCTGTAGCATTTATCGCCTTCCAATGTGTGATACAATTTACCCTTTTGTTATACAATTCTTTATTACTGTCCGGCGGAGCCTACAAGAGAGGCAGTTTGGCAACATCCAAATGGAAAGCACACATGCCCTTTGCTCTCTGCCTTCTATGCAGCTGCGCCTGTAGGTTCAATTCTGCAGCTGGAACCCTGCAGCATCTTTTGTAACAGAAAACATTTGGAAACAAAGTGAGTGTTTATTGATGGAGGACTAGTCAATAAATCAGGGTACATTTACATAAGGGAACACCACGTGAAAAAAGGAGAAAGCTCTTTCTGCACTATCCCGGCTGAGCTCTGACTTAGATTGTCAGGTAGAAAGGTGCAAGGTGCAGAACACTATGAACACTTTAAAACCATTTGCATAGAAAGAATAGTTACGGCTTTATGCATAAAATCTCTACTGACTTTTTGCTGCTGTTGTTGCCTTTGGGGAGAAACTGGGACTGGGGGGGGCGGGGGATGGAGGTGGGAAAGAGACTAGCAACACATTCTTTCACCCATTTTGAATTTTGAACCATGAGAATATAGTAGTACATTCTTAAAAATAATATAGAAAACCCAAAAAAATCCATCAGAAAGCTTTTAGAAACGATAAACGAATACAGTAAAGTTGCAGGGTAGAAAATCAACGTACAAAAATCATTTGCATTTCTATACTAACAACGAACTAGCAGAAAGAGAAATGAAGAATACAATTCCATTTCTAATTGCAACAAAAAGAAGAAAATACCTAGGAGTAAATTTAACCAGGGAGGCAAAAGACCTATACAGTGAAAACAGTAAGACATTGTTGAAAGAAATCAAAGAAGGCACAAAGAAATGGAAAGAGATTCCATGCTGATGGATTGGAAGAATTAACATAGTTGAAATATCATATTACCTAAAGCAGTCTACAGATTCAATGCAGTCCCTATTGAAAATAACTAACTTTAAAATTTTAGCTTGCATGCTCTGTTTTGGTGGCCCAGGGTTTCACTGGTTCAGATCCTGGGCATGGACATGGCATCGATCATCAAGCCATGCTGAGGCGGGGTCCCACGTACCACAGCTAGAAGGACTGACAGCTAGAATGTACAACTATGTACCGGGGGCTTTGGGAAGAAGCACAAGAAGAAAAAAGAGAGAAATGAAGAAGATTGGCAACAGATGTTAGCTCAGGTCCCAATTTTGAAAAATAAAATAACAATTTAAAAATAATGTAATTGATTGAATGCATTTAATAAATGGAGAAGAGGTAAATCTTCTGTACAGAAAAATGCCAATTAATAAATACAGAAGGATTGAGAGAAATAGAAAAATCGTCCATAGCACACCACAGTAGTAATTGCTGCAGGCAAATCTGCCCTTGAATGCCGAAAGGAATGGGTGAAATTTTAAGGTGAAACAGTATATTTGCATAGTCCAAAGTATCTTCCCGCCACATATTTGTTAATTTCTGTGGGGTGTTAACATGTGTCCGCAAGTTCTTTGATGCTCCGCCCTCCAGGTGGTGAAGCTGAGTTCCCTCCCCTTAAGTATGAGCTGGACTTAGCAACTTGCCTCTAACAAACAGAATGTGGAAAGGAAAAAATAGTGGTTTCACAGTGGAGAAATCTGGCAGGCAAATGATCAGGGTTAGCGTCGCCAGTAACAAGTCTTGTTGATGTCGTGGACCCCTGAAATAACGTGATGAGAGGCCCACTTCACCTGTGTGGTGTTCTTCCCCTCCAATCCATAACTTCAGCCTGACCAGGGAAAAGCCAAATGGAAGGACACGCTGCAAAATATCTGACCGGGGCTGGCCCGGTGGTGCAGCGGTTAGGTGCACATGTTCTGCTTCAGCGGCCCGGGGTTGGCCAGTTCGGATCCCGGGTGCGGACATGGCACCACTTTGCAAAAGCCATGCTGTGGTAGGCATCCCACATATAAAGTAGAGGAAGATGGGCACGGATGTGAGCTCAGGGCCAGTCTTCCTCAGCAAAAAGAGGAGAATTGGCAACAGATGTTAGCTCAGGGCTAATCTTCCTCAAAAAAAATACATATCTGACCAGCACTCTTCAAAAGTGTCAAGGTCATGAAAGACAAGGAAAGGCCAAGAAACTGTCACTGCTTGCAGAGAGTAAGGAGACATGGCTGGAGGGTATGTAGGAACACTTTGTACTGTCTTTGCAACTCTTCTATAAATCTAAAATTATTTCCAAAAAATAATTTAAAAAAATTGTTCTGGTCAAGATGGAGTAACAAGAATCAAGTTTACCCTCCCACCTGAAAGAATCAAGGAATGCACCAGGGAATAAATGAATGACATGAGCCCTACCATTGCCTCAGCCAACGTCCCTGAGTTTCCAGGCTGTGGCACAGATGTCAATACTCTCTCCCAATAAATGATGGAGCAAGTAGACAGAAAATCAGTGTGGGGCTGGACGATCTGAACAACGCTGTCCCCCAACTTGACCTTCCTGACATTTATAGGGCGCTCTTCCCAACAACAGCAGGAGACACAGGCCGTGGGCCTTGTTGGCTCCTGGAGACCTGAGGGGCACCGCGGGATTAAATAGACACAGAGCCGTCGCTGCCTCCGGGTGCCCTCTGTGTCCTTCAAAGCGGTGGCAGCTCAGCAGTCTGACAGCTCCCCGCCCCTCAGAGGGAAGCTGTGTGTTCCCTCTCCGCTCTGAGGTGGGGAGCCCTGGGGTGGGGAGGGCAGCTGGGGGGTGGGGTCAACTTCTGCTCCACCCTTTTTATCCCAGAGCCTGAGCACCCAACCCCACACACCGCAGATGCTGCCCCTCTCCCCTGCCGAGTCTGGCATGCCCTCCCTCAATCCTGCTGACCCGGGGACGAGGTTATCTCTCAAGTCCACCTCCCCCCTCACCTGGGCCAAAGAAGGGGTGATCTGCAGCTACCTCCTGGTGTCTGGGGGCGCTGTGCCAGGGCAGGGAGCTGGCATGCCCCAGGGTGAGAAAGAGGAACAAGGGGATATTCACACAGGTGGGGCGGGTGTTGGTGGGAGGTGGAGGGAGAGGGGCCAGCTGTGAGGAGTCCAAGAGGCGGACGGTCAATGACATTCGTGCCCCAGGCTTTTCACCCCAAATCTTATGTCGAGAGTGGGCTGAGAGTGAGGCAGTCTGCCAGGGTTCAAGTCACTGTGTGAGCCGGGGCAACTGCTGAACCTCTCTGAGTCTCAGTTTCTTTCTCTAAAATAGGAACAATAAGGATACCAATCTCTTGAGATGGTTTGATGGCCTAATGAGCTTAGCACAGTGCCGGGCACACAGACGCCCCGGTGAATGCCAGCTGTTGTTACGAAAGAGGAGAAACCTGAGGCTCAGAACTAGTAGGCAATGCGCGGGTTCTAATTATGGGTGACAGACATGGTCCCGCCCTCCAGGAAATTGCAGTCTAGTGGAAAGGACAGTCCTGTAGACAGACAATGGCCGCATAGTGGAATAAGTACTATAAGTGAAGGAAATGTCATATCACAGAGGCCAGACGCCGGGAGACTCAGAGA